AACCCTGATGAAAATAAATATTATCTTCTCACTCCATATCCCACATTAATGCAATCACTCAAAAAATTTTCACCAGAAAGCATTCGCGCTATTGCTCGAAACCCAAATATAGACTTACAATCAATAGGAATCTATTCAAAATCAGATATTCAACATCACATTAGAACACAACAATTCCAAGAATTATTAACACAAATGGACACTATACAAAGACAATCAATAGACCAAAATTTACGCAAACTTGCAGAAACCGCAGGATTTGCCGATATCTACACGCAAGACTATAGCGGATATTTTAAAGACATTAAAGATTATATATATCTAAACGGTGAAAAATACCGTCCCCAAGATATATCACCAATTAACATTTTTAGCTTTGTTACACTCAAAAATGAGATCCTCGATTTTCTAGGATGGCCCTACTACATCTTAGAAAAATTGACTATTTTATACGCAATGTTTAACTTTATTGGATTTCTTTTCTCACTTTTAAAAGGAATCTACAACACATGTGCTATACACACACAAGTAAACAGACAAGCAAGCGTAGCACGCATACTCTTTGCAGGATTTTTTGGAATCTTTTCTACATCTATAAACAAAATTCTTTTAGACGCACAAATAAAAGAATATAACACAAAAATAGCAACACGACAAAATACATACGACGAAGAACATAACAATGTAGACATAACGCCAACGGCACCACAAATACCACCCCTACCAAATAACCATCCACTATCCCTAGTCCCACGAAATTTTCGAAATTTAGCCATCACACATAATCCAAATTTTCGACTCACCACATCACAAAGTCCCATCCAACATATAATGACACACCAGTCACAAGATCAAAATACTTATGAACAAATTATTGAACAACCCCATACCACCGCTTTTCAGTCTCAAAATAATCATTTTTTTAGCCCACGATGAGCCGCCAACTTGGATCACTACACCGATCAAATTCCCACCCAACCAATCTTACCTCTCCAATCCCAATAATACCACTTTTTGCTTTTCCGCCACCCGATTTTCCATCTAGTAATGTAACATCAGGCATGAATTCCGACACTAATTCACACATCTCAGTTTTATATTCCATCTCACAACTCAATAACCCGAATATTGAAACCCCCGATGAATTTGCCGACTCAGAACCATCCCCATCAAATCATTTTCATAATTCTTCTAATTTTTCTCAACCCCCTTTTCAACCCATATTATCCAATAACCCTGACCCAATCACTTCCACACCCTCTTATGCTTCCCAAGTTACCCCAACCTACTCCTCACTTCATTCTGACCAATCATCTCATTCTCCAGACACCCCCCGAATCTCCCCAGAGCTAGATAATTTTATTACCCTTCAACAACAACCCTACCACCTCCATACCCCAACAATAAACCAAATCTCCTCCACAATAAATTCATCCAACCCCCCTACCCCTACACCCTCTTCAAATTATACTGAATCATTAGCACCATCATCCACATCAACTGAATCTTCACTCAACACTAATAGAGCTTACCGCACTTTTAAAAGAAAGTTCCCCAACCATCCTTTCCCAGCAAAACCAGGAACAGCCCGTGAATACATCAACCACCCCAAGCATACTAACACAAAAGAATTTTTAGCCATCACCTTACCCTCATTTCCACAATACACCTTAAACACCCCCCACGACACTAACGAAACACGCAACTTTGTAGATGAATACGTTTTAATGCCCACTCTCTCTTGGACCTCATATTATCATTTTACTAACCCTCTTTGCTTACCTTTATCTAACACTCACATCGATATAGAGCGAAATACGGACATGCTATATCGACTCACTACACCACTAACCGCTAGACAATTTACTTACGTTGGATATAAAAAATCACTAAAAACACACACTGCACCTAGAGCTAACGAATATACACTCGAATACTATGATCACAACATCATCAGAGCTAACCAAGATCAATTCTTAGACGACGATCGCTTCGCTAATCCACAAATTACCGAGAAATTTTTCATCAAGACACCATATATATTTACACTAAACATCTTCGACCGAAAGTTTGATCACATTATTTCAGAAGCACTAACAGACACACAAGCATACGAAAGTTTTAAAGAACGCTTCCAAATATTTTCACTAACCTTTCATTTCCTTGCACCACACGAAAGAGATTTACACTGCTCACACGATATTATGTTGCGCACTAAACAAACCCACACATATAGTTATTATCGCTTCATCCAAAATCACTTTGACCTACACACACCCTCTAGACAACCACACCATCGTTTTCAATTCATTAATTCCAAATACACTTCACCATTTTTCCTAAATTTCACATATTGCATTAAAGATACTAACCTTCATGGTATTCTTCGCAATTATGATCCCATAACCCAAATGTACATCTTCTGTCCCATCACCAAGACCTTCAACGCCGAAGAATCCCGACCCTTCCTTATCCCGCACGAGTTTGTACAACCTATAGAAATCCCAATTTTAGAATTCATCCACAACACTAAATTCAATCACAAATTATATAATCTAATCCAAAACACACCTTATGAGTTTGCAGTTGGCACTGAAGAACTAACCACTATTAAGGCACTTCAATTGCTTTGGCCACTGCTTCAGACTAAAAATATCATCCGCATCTTAGCTAAACTACTAACAAATTCCGATCTCATCCACGACATCTTCCCCCACGGTTTTTTCCCCGACGACTAACAGGTAAGTATGAATTAAATGAATATTACTAACTAATTACAATATTAAAAACTCACCATTCTTTATCCATGTTTTCTTTAGATTTTTAGCTTTCATCCGACAATCACCTACAAAAACCACAAAAGACAAATAAAAATCGCAAATTTCATCAAACAAATTTCAAAAATTCTATTAATCTCTTACACTTATAAATTTATAAATTTAATACCAATGCAGTAAATTCATTTCTAAACTTTTCCCCACAAGCAGTAAATCTAATTATGATGAAAATTTGTAACTTAAAATTCCCCCATAACTAGCAGTAAATTTCCAAATTCTATGCAGTAAATTAATAAAATGCAAATGCAGTACTAACCTTTTGATATTCTCATTCATTCGCACAGAAATTCTATCCACACTCGCACAGCTCGCCCACGAAGAATTGTTTAAAATAATGAATTTCAGTTTCAAGTTTTCACACTCAACAACTCTAACATATAATAACATGTTTCAAACCTTCCTTTAACCCGGTTGGAAAGGAATTATATACTAAACAAAACTAACCAATGCAGCTTACTAAACACCACAACACAAAGCATAACAGCATGACTAAGAAAAGGAAACCAACGGTACCCAAACCGGATTAACCCAGTTTAAAACTGGATAATTTATTCTTTTGAAGACTATTATAAAGTCTAAGAAAGAAATAATAAAACACAAAAAAGTCGAAAGACAAACCCATACCACGAACAATTTGCTTTTTGGAAAAAGGACATAACCAACAAGACATAAGAAAAACCACAACAAACCCAACATAAAACGTTGTCACATAACAGGACCCCTCACAAAAACCGCATGAAATCATACTCCCACTCCTGGCCTAACCCACCAGGAAGGACGTCCTGAGCATGCTCTATAGCCGGCCTAACCCACCGCGCTACATCCACGCTTTGTGACCACACCTCTATTTTTAATAAGAGCTACTCAAGTGTGAGTAACTCTTCAAAATAACCGAACTAAAACAAAAAGCTTTTGTGAAAACAACTAACTAAAATCATAATTAAAAAATATTAAACTAATAAATGTTTTATAAAATGTAAATTACATTATGCAATACATAGATCAGAATACAACACCAAGGACGAACATCTAAAGACAAAACGACCCCACTACGCTCGAGAGAGAATGGCCAACCACAATCGATATGCCACTCACAATCACAACTCAAAGGATTTAGAGTACGACTTGACTTCGCAGAAAAGGACTTCATTGAACTAGACCAATGACCACCTCGATGTTCAAGTATACGTACAGATCCGAGTAACCAGGCATCCCCTCCACGCACAATCTCCACGCCATTCCCAAATTAGATCAGACACAAAAGAAGTTCTCCACGCAGAACAGAAAAACCTGACATAGCAAACCATTCTGAAATCAGATTTGAGTTTGTTGCAAAGACTTAGTCGTTGTCACTAGAAGACACAACGTCTTATGTCTCTAACTCCAGCTTCCTGGAACTTCTTTAACAAAGAGGAAACAGAAGAAATAAGATGTTCGCCAAACACCAACGTCCATCATCCATCCTTCGAATTGCAGAAGAACTATTCTAAAAAACTCTGTAAAACCCGGATGGGTGGAACCTGATCTAGACTACATTTTATGATTGGATAATTTAGATATTTTACCAATGTAAAGTATTTAATATTAACCAATCATGATCCATCTAACTAACAACCCACTTATTTGTAAGTGCTGAAGTTACTTGTAATTTCAGCACCAGAGAGATTTGAATTTAACTTAGAAATTAGTTGGACTCTCCCGAGCACTTCAGCAGCCGCAATAAACCAGTATACCCTAGATCTATTGAGCCTAGCAGAGACTAGTTAAACAACCTGAGACTAGATAGTATAAGAGTAAGATTAGGATCGGTATTAGACTAAGAAGTTGCACGAATCTATCCGGCCGAAAATAAGATAGCGTGACGAGCAGACGGTGTACCCTATCCGAAATTACTCTATGAGTTAACCAACTCGGTCCTAACTCACAGGAAACATTTTTCACGGGATAGTGCATGTATTTAATGAAACCAAGCAGTTCAAAAAATAACTGTAAAAGTTCGTGATTGTGGAGCTGAAATTAGTTGCTTTACCAATTTGTTGTCTTCCAACTTCGCAAACGAGACAGGCGTCATCGGTCTTTTTTCTTAATTTTGTTCGTGTTTCAAGAGCGGAATCATTGCGTCAAGTATTCAGAGCTAACCCAATCTGGTTTTGAGATTAGCTCTTTAGTTTCAGAGCCTGCTGTCTTCAGCTAGCCGCCTGTGACCATATGGAGTCTGCGAGTACCCGCATTTCTGCAGTGCGGTTTTTGAAGGGCAACTGTCACTGCATGTCTCATTGGTCGATAGGAGGCGGATCGATTCCTGGTCATGTCCGAGACCACTCTCGACTATTTCGCTGCTGACTGCAATTTTATTTGTTGCGGTGACTGTGGTGGCGGCGACGGAGTGACATCTGTTGTCTCGCTGATGCGTTGACAAGGTTCTCGTTTGGGAGGTGGTTCGCAAAGGTGCTGCGACGTTACTGGCTCTTGGCTTCGTCTGAAACGCATTTTAAAATGTTTTTACTTCTTATTATGTAAATGTTTCTGAGATTCACAAGCTGGATCTAGCTATAGTGACTCGTATAAAAATGACTGATCACAAAACTGTTCTACGAGGGTTAAATAGTAAGGTAGTTGATACTAGGCTCTGCTAACAAGTTCTCACTAATGTGCAGTTTATAAGTGTGGTTTCGAACCAACAATCATGTGATTGCTGGGTAGCATCACTACCGCTGCGCCAAAATATGACCATTACCTGAAACCCTATGAACAAGACTATTTTGTTGCAATATATAGAGTAAAAGTAACTGAGCTAGATAAAGTTAAGAGCAGTTTCTAAGTTTAAATAGAATCTTGGGTAGTTAAAGTTTAGATTTTTCAGGTACAATTTTTTATATGCTATACAGTGGTGGATCTAGGATTTTCTCGAGGGGGGGGGAGGACCTTTTTGTCGACTTTTTTTTAGGTCGACCGAACTGATTTTAGGCGATTTATGGAAGCGTTTTTAGGCGATTTATGGAAAATTTTGTCCAAAAAATCGCGTTTTTTCGGCGCGCGCTCCCCCCTCAAAATTAGTATATATTGGCGCCCAAGGCGCCTTTAGACAAATTTTAGAGTCGGTCAGCCAAAAATGGATTTCTTAAAAAGTACTAAAGGGGGACCCTTTGGGTCGGCAGGGGGTCGAATCCCTGAGGGGGGGGGGGCGTCCGCCCCCCCCCCATAAATCCGCTACTGATGCTATTATAGTGAATTAAATATGAAGCTTAACAACAACAATGATTGAAGCTCTATTCACCCCAATAAACTAAAAGCGCTATATTTTTTACGGTTCCATCTACATTTTTGCCGTGATTTAAAAACAATGTAATCCAGGCAGGGGCGGATCTAGGATTTTCTCGAGGGGGCTGGGGGATTGTTTTTTTTGATCGACCAAATTAACTTTCCGAGCTACCCCAAAGAACTTTTAAGACACTGTTTTGGCCTTAAAGGCGTTTTAAGCACTTTTTGGGAAAATTTTGACCAAAAAATCGCGTTTTTTCGGCGAGAGCTCCCACCTCAAAATTAGTATAGATTGGCGCCGAAGGCGCCTTTAGAAGCATTTTATGTTCCGTCACCAAAAATGGATATCCCAAATTAGTACAAAAGGGGGTCCCTCTGGGTCTGCTGGGGGTCGAATACCTGAGAAAAAGGAAAGTGTAATAGGGTAGGTTGATACACCAGCGGGGGTCTGAAACTTTAAAGGAAATGATTCTACTGTTCAAGTTCGCTATCGATACAGTTTTTCGGCCAAAATGGATTTTAAAATATTCAAAACATTAGTTATACGTTCGTAGAATTAAATACCTTCGTCATCTCGCAATTCCTCTCTACATTTACCTCCCTCAATTTAGAAAAAAAACACGTTTCTTATAATTTTTTGCAAACACTACTGGTGGTCGAACATTCTAGTTGCAAATCAATCAGCTATTTGTGAAGTTATATCTGTTTTTTTCTTCATGGATAATTTGTACTCAAATTTATAATTTGTACTCAAATTATAAATTTACTGCTTTCTAATTCTACGAACTGCCGCTTTCTAATTCTACGAATTGCCGCTTTTCTGTCGTCTCACGTACATTACCTGCACTGGCTGTCGTATTTTACTGGAGCCATCTGTGGTTCCAGATGCACCTAACTGTACTCTAGTTGCTTCGGTCAAGCAACATTTCGTAGCCCAGAAAATAAACCAAAAATGAAGCTAACTTTTTTTTCGTTCCCTTTCTTTATCGACCACATTGTTAAGTTATTGAAAGGACTGAAAATTTAACAGTTTAATTAGCGCGTCTAATTTACATTATTGTTGTTCCGACTTTCGATACGAAAGTAACGGAATATTTGTGCTCGGGGTGGGTTTTTTTTTCTTCAGACAAATTTCGACTTTTTAACTAGCCGTTTTTGACGGAATTTTTTTTATATCATTCGAAAGCTATTGTTGTCTTGAGCTTGAATTTGAAAAGATATTTTACCTGTGATAATTTTTCGTAAAGTTATGGGGGTTTAAAGATTGCCATTTTGGCCAATTTGGGACAAATAACGCGCGATATATTTCGCGCTATTAACGCGTAAGCGGAGAGTTAATCCGTCTTAGAAATCGTTCCAAATTGGTTCAAGGAAGCTTATATGCCATAATTGATTTGTTAATAGGCGTAAAATCTATCACTTTGTACTTGATATGACGTGTGGGGGGATGTTTTCACATAAAATCTCAAATTTTTTCAAAAAATTTTTTTATATATTTTTTATTACATTGAAATTTTTCATCTTATTAATGCTCCATAGACCTTAAAAGGCAGTCGGAACTTTCAGAGCTTTGCCCTGATACGAGCAGTCTTGTTGCATTTGAAATAGGCATCTGAAGCTTTAAACCAAAAAAGCAAAATTCATTTTAGCTAGGTATTTAGAAAATTAGACGACAAGCAAACTAGACGATCAGATAATAACGGAATTTAGACAAATTGCGTGCAAATCGGGTGAAAATTGTTTACAGACTTGATTATTTTCTGGCTGACTAAATACTAGTTGTCCAACCACAAATCAATATTAATGTCACAGTTGAAAAATTTACGCATTTCAAAACGCAATTTACTTTTTCGACTTAATGTTTTATAATTAACTTACAGTAACAACAATTTTGATCAGTTCTGCGATCAAATGCGCTTTTCGTTTTCGTGTAACTTCATTCTAATTATTTTTTTGTACCAGTTCTAATTGTCTAAATTCACCAAAAAATATCGTCTAAATTCCGTTTTTTTTACAATAGTCTAATTTATTTGTCGTCTAATTTCCTAAACCCCTAGCTAAAATGGTTATCTACGCTGACATGTGATCGCCGCCAATGGAGTTGACAAAAACTGATCGTATCAGGTTGAAGCCCTAAATGTTGCGACTGCCCTTTAAAGTTCTGTGGAGTCGTGTTTGCCTCATGATTTTTTTTTGATTTTTGTTGTTTTTCTTAGACAGATTGAGTATCCGCTTACGCGTCAATATCACGAAACAAATCGTGTGTTAGTTGTCCCAAAGTGGCCAAACAACTTTACAATTTTTTTAAAATCGTTTTACCTCAAGACAACAATATTTTTCGAATGATTTAAAATATTTGGTCAAAAAATATAAAATAGAAAATGAAAAATTGTCTGAAGGAAAACAACAACCCAAGCACAAATTTTCCATCACTTTCTTCGAAAGTCGGAACAAATACTACAACAATTTTTATTTTTATGGATGCATTGACTTGCAAGGCTGTCTACCTGCCCATGCTGCATTTTGGGGCGAAGCGATTAGAATGCGTTAATTACTTTGACTACGCGTGCTTTTGGAAATTAATTTTCAATTTTTTCAGGGTGCTAAAAATTTCACTTTCAGCTAATTTAAATTTCGGCTAAGTGCACTCTGTTCAAAATTGCAAACTTTAGTAGAGAAAACGTGAAATATCGAATGTTCATTTTACAAATCTTTACATGGGCATGCTAATGAACACAAATGCTAATGGGCCGGGCCCCGTGCGTTGCAACATTGCCGCTATTGCGTTCAAGGCGGCAATTAAAAAATCAAAGAAAAAACACTTCAAGCGCGATTAATAATTGGCTCTCCTGCACATTACTACCCCTCTCTGAAGGTTTGCGTATTAGCATAATGGTTGAGTAGTATGCCGATGTAAAAGAATGCTGTTTACCCGCTCGTTAATTTGATGTTCGTTTTTTCAATTTACAGTTTTGCATAGTGTATACTTCGAGCCAAATTTTGATTAAGAGAAAAAGAAACTTTAGACAAATGATAATCGTCTGATCGAATAAATGATTTGGAGCAAATATTGGGCGCCAATAGGCGCATTTAATTGTCGCTATGCACCCTCTCCCCCAATGAGGGATTATCAATGCAATTGACAGTTTTGTGTTTAACCATTATCAAGACTTCTGGTATTGCAGGACAAAACTCTGAAAGTTCCGACTGCCCCTTAATCCAAATCGAATAGTTTTTTTCGGAAAAGAAATTTTTGAAAAAATGTAGTTTTTGGACAATATCAAAGATCAAGTGCAAAAATTTAGGTCGTATAATATTATCATGACCGACTTGCTAGCCTCAATTTGAATTGAAACAATTTTTTTGAGTGGAATAATTCGCGACGCGTGAAAAAATTCGCGTTCGTTACCAATTCAGGAATAAAGATAAAACCTTCAGAGTGCGATTAAATTAGGCCAAATTGACAATTTTCAAACTCCCAAAATATTGCGATCGGAGTTAAAATAACTTTTTAAATTTCACTTGAGGCATTCGTTATCTTCAATGGGGCCTAAAAATTTTTTGTTATAAACGATTATTTTGATCGCCGATAGTTGACTAAATAAAAACAAAACTCGTTTATAGTCTCGAATAGTTTTTGGTAAATTAAATTTTTGCAAAACTATGAACTTAGGCTGAAAATTTCCAAAATTGAGTAGTGCACTTTCTTTGAGCTGAGTATGGAAATAATAAAACCACATATTCAAGTAATGTTACTGTAAAGATGTGCATACTTGTCTGGTCGCCTGTAGAACAAGAGATCAATCCCCCGCGGGATCAAAGTTTTGCAAAAATAGTCTGAATTTAAAGAAAAATCCCGAGCGTATATATTGCTCATTTTTTCGAAAGTTGGATCAAAAACACACCAAGCATAAACATTACGTTATCTTTGAAAGTCGGAAAAATAAATCAGAAAATATGCGAATGTTCAAGTGAAGCCTAACATAAAGTGGCCAGCTCAAAAGCTCAAAAACAGTCAGGACAGTAGGCAGACACAACTTTCAAATTATGTTGAAGAAAAATTTTCTCAAACCTCATTAACACTTGGATATTTTAAAGTTAATTGTTTTTCATATTTTTTAAATTTAAGCAACAATCAAATTTCTGTTAATTTGTTTTGAAAATAGAATTTTTTAAACCTGCTTTAAAGGCATCTTTCAAAGCATACTAAGTTTGCAC